CCTGGGAGCACAGCGGGGCCCTGGGAGCACAGTGGGCCCTGGGAGCACAGCGGGGCCCTGGGAGCACAGGGGGCCCTGGGTGCACAGCAGACCCCCTAGGTCCACAGCGGGGGCCCTGGGAGCTTGTAAAACACACTCCAGCAGGCCCCGCCCACAGACCTCAGGTCCAGTCCTGGGGAGGCCAGCACTGGCTCATCTGACCTGGGATGTGACAGTGTAGGGCGCAGGCAGAATATCCTGCATTCCACCCTGAGACAAGCCTGGGGGCTGCCATTGAGCTCACCTTGGGCCTCTCACAGGGAGGTGAGATGGGGGGCAGGGGGCACAGAGCCTGTGGAGACCCATCGCCCTACAGCAGAGCAAAGGTCTCTGGGGGCCACCAGCTCTGTCCAGGGAGCAGGGACACTGAACCCTCCCAACTTATTAAAATACTAGAGGCCGGGAGCACGAAATTTGTGCACAGGAGTGGGGGGGTCCCCTCAGCCCAGCCTGCACCCTCTCCAATCTGGGACCCCTTGGGATCGGGCCTAAACCAGCAGTCAGACATCCCTGTCACAATCCTGGACCACTGGCTCCTAATCACTCACCTGCCTGTCTGCCTGGTTGCCCCTAACTGCCCTCCCCTGCCTACCTGACCACCCCTCACTGCCTCTGTGTGCCAGCCTGATTGCCCCTTACTGCCCCCCCTGCTGGCCTGGTCCCCCCCCCCCACCAGCCTGGTTGCCCCACGCAGCCTGCTTGTTCAGTCATAGGCAGCCATCTTGTGAGGGTGTGAGGGTTAATTTGCGTATTACCTCTTTATTATATAGGATGCCATTCTGAAGATACTGAGCTCAGTCCTCCTTTCATGTGCCCATATGAGCCCAGAGAATTGATAATAAGGGGCAGAGAGCAAAGGTGAGCAGCCAGCTGGCCCAGGAAGGGCATCAGAGCAGGACTGACTTCCAAAAGGCCTGCTGGGATGGCCCCTGCTCCCGGCCTCGGGCCCACGGAGCCGGAGCTCCTCCCTACCCCAGGCTCAGCTCAGGGCTCATACCCACCCAAGGCTTCCCCACCTGCCCCGCCCATTCCCAACCATGTTGCTTTGGCTGTTTGGCTGCAAGGCCTGTGTCTTCCCAGCAGACTGGATGCCCCTCCCCACCTGCCCCTCTGAGCCCTGGGCAGGCTGACTAAGCCAGTCTCAGGGATGCCCACCGACCTAAGCCCACCAGGCGCCCACCCTGCTCAGCCCCGGCCTCCCCCTTGGTCCCCATGGGCCTCCCCTGATGACCCTTGGGAAGGTGACTCCCCCAGAACCCAGATGGAGCTCCACAGGCGTGCAAGTCACCTGAAAAGTCCTGGGCTGAGCATCAAACCCAGTTCCAGGCCCAGCCTGCAGCCTGGCCTTGTGCCCCTGCGAGGCAATCGCCTTGCCAGGGAAATGAGCCAGAGAGGGGGCGAGGTGCAGGCTGGGGGTGTTGTCAGGGAACCCCCGGCAGGGAGAGCTGGCCACACTCCCCTTGTACACACACATAGGCACACACACACACACACACACGCACTCACACACGTGCGCGTGCACACAAACACTGCCGAATGGGCCCGGGAGCTTCTGGCAAACGGCCTTGGCCTGACAACCTAGTTCTCCTGATTAGCCTGGGACACTGGGTAGGACCTACCTGGGCCTTAGGGTCCGTCCTGCGAAGGCAAGGCCATCAGTGACACCCGCCTCCCCTCCTTCCCTCGCACCAGCGTCTGAGTGAACACGCGGCGGGCCTCCTGAGCGCAGGCGTGCTCACATGTGACCGGCCTCCCCCAGTGAAAGGCTTCCCAGAGGGCACTGACGCCTGGCACAACGCACTGCTGCCCCCTCACCTCCACACACCCCTCCACACCCAGTCCCTGCCTGAGTCCCGCACAGGGTCCCCCAGGCCCTCGGCCACAGCACCCACACCCCTCAGCTAAGGAGGTGGCTGGTGGGGAGTCAGCACAGGCGGCCGGGCTCCAGCTGCTGCCTGTGGCCTCACTGTGTCGCTGGCCCTATGATTCAGCCCTGGCAGGGCCTGCCCCTAGGCCACACCCTGCCCCCTACCTCCCCACCTGCCAGGGAAGCCAGGCTGTGAGCACACACGAGCACACACTTGGGCCTAACGAATCAGAGAAATAAGCATGGAGGTGGCAGGAGCACACATACACATGCAGCCAGAACAGACACATACATGTGCACCCACCTAGCCCACCCGGACACACACCCATCATCTTAGCACCTGTGGCCTGAAGACAGGACAAGCAGGAGGGGGAACTGTGGCGGCTGGAAGCCAAATGCTCAAGAGGAGAGCTGCCTGGGAGGAGGGGAGGCTCAGGTTATGGGCTGGGGCTGGGGCCCCAGGGCGCAGGATGTGAGCCAGAGGAGAGGAAGGAAGGGCAGAAATGGTACCTGCCTTGGGGGCTGCAGGGCAGTGGACAGGAACAGATCCTGCCCCCTACCAGCAGGCCTGACTTCTGGAATCTTCCACAATGTCCTGGCCCCTCTCTGCCCAAGGCCTCCCCATGCCCCAACTCGACGCAGCCCAGGGAGCAGCCCACCCACCCCCCAGCCTAGTCTCATCACCCAGTTCCTCCTTCCCGCTGCCTCCGGCCCTGCGGCTGAGGGCGGAGCCTGGGGTCCCACTGCCGGACCTTCAGTGGACGTGGAGCCAGGGTGCAAAACCATGTGTTTATTTTTATTAGAAATGTTCTTGGTATAAAAAACAATCATGCGCTACACATGTCATCAATAACCACCACCAAACACTCAGGCACTGAACTCCGTGTCATCGGCAGGAGGGGCAGGCGGGCAG